TTAAATTAATATTTTGTTTACATTTAATGCTTAAAATAAGTGATTAATTGTCTGTTTTAACTAAAATCTTACATTTGTTTTGCTAACACTTTCTGTGGATTCTTTGGGTTTTACACTAATTATTAAACTAATACTAAAGACGCGACTAATGTTTTCGGTGAGCATTTATTTTTGGGTTTTTATGATTGCATTTTATAATTAATTAATTGTAATTTTTATCAATTATTTGTAATTATTTATTAATTTTTATGAATTGATTGTGAATTGACAGCCAATGCAGACCTTTATATAAAAATCACTTCCGAGGGAAAGAAATATTTGTTTCAACTCTCATATCAAACCCAAACAAATACATTCATTGTTGAGATTAATAAAGCCATCGAATGTAAGCTCTTGTGAATCTATTGACACACATATGATATATTTAGTAACTGTTTATACATTTTATTTATTTATAGTATATCTAAAGAAGTCGACTCCAGTCTCGTTTGATTGGCTCAGGGATTACACCAATTGTATACAAAATGATGGATTAAATCAAATCGATAACAATAGCAAAGAATTTTGTAAATTTGAAGACAATTTTGCCGATATGTTAGCATTCAATGAGAAAAATCGCGACAATAGTAACGAGAAATTAAGCAAAAAGCCGTCGAATCCATTCATGGACTCGAATACTAATGATTTAATAGATATTAATGAACAGCACTTCGATCAACAAAACATGAATTCAGTACTCAATACAAAGACCAATAATGTGGGCAACAGTAGCTTTTACAAGGACTTGGATTCGCCCGACGAGTTCAGTACACTTCCGCGCCACTCGATCGCGTCGGGCGCCACACCTCTGGCCGCCCGCGAGAGTGTCATTCGGGCGCAGATGACAATGCGTGAGGAAGCTTTTACAAGGACTTGGATTCGCCCGACGAGTTCAGTACACTTCCGCGCCACTCGATCGCGTCGGGCGCCACACCTCTGGCCGCCCGCGAGAGTGTCATTCGGGCGCAGATGACAATGCGTGAGGAGGACTTCACGTACTCCCAGACGTTCACTATATATATCGGCACCTGGAATGTGAACGGACAGAACGTGTCCGCACCTCTCGGCCAGCATTGGCTCGCATGTGATCCCAATCCGCCCGACATGTATGCAATTGGTTTCCAAGAACTGGATTTATCGCGCGAGACGTTTCTCTTCAACGAGACGCCCAAAGAGGAGATGTGGCTAAAGGCCTGTCGAGAAGCTCTCCACCCGAAGGAGAGCTACGAATTGGTCCAATTGGTACGACTCATAGGAATGATGTTAATTGTATTCGTCAAAAAAGACTTAAGACAATACATTACTAATATCTCATCGGAAATGGTCGGCACCGGACTTATGGGACGAATGGTATGAAAGTGGCATCAATTCTATCATTTATTAATGCATAATAATAATAATGGGTTTATCTTTTGAACAAAAGGGAAACAAAGGCGGAGTTGCCGTTCGGTTTGATTTGCACAACTCGTCGGTGTGTTTCGTGAACAGCCATTTGGCCGCTCACGTCGAGGAGTATCAG